GAGTCGGTTATGTCCTGCGGCGTGTAAGTCCCACTTCGACGCAGTCTCTTGCCACAGACCTGTATGCAGGACCTGTCCATATGTGGTCCAGGGCACTAGTCAGGAATTCGGAACTCCACCTTACACATACGTGAAGCATTCTACTGCACTAGTCGCAATTTCATTTATGCCATCAACTGCAAGAGATGTGGCTTGAAATACATCAGTAAAACGGGTCTATGACTGGCTGACAGGTTTAGATAACATCTTCTGGATGTGCAGTACGGTGCCCTGAAACCAGTACCGTTGCACTTCAATTCTCAGGACACCAAGGTGTCCTCAACATGGAGGTGACAGCCATTAAATCTAGCCACTCCAACGACGGAGTCCCCAAGTTTCTTGAAAATCGTTTTATTGACACTTTGAGAACTTTAACACTCAAAGGACTGAACTGCCAACACAGTTTCATTTAAACTCCTAGGAGAATGAGCTGACCACACAGTTGTATTTCAAATCCCCCCCCCTATAGCCCCTGGCACTCCACAGATATTTATTCCGTGTCTCTGCAGTCTGTTGAGAAGTCATCGACCCGACTGCTTCGAGATACCAGCTAAGTGATTTTGTGTATTTGTGCGGTGTTGTTTAATTTGTCTATGTGCTGATGAAGGCTCCATAGCCGCAACGTTCATATTTTGTTTGTATTTGTATATTGTGAAGCTTGCTAATTTACTTTTGATTGGTTTTATATCTTTTCTGGTTAAGGTGAATACACCCTGTATCCTAGATTAAATTATCAATAAAGGCAAGGTAAGCTGTTCTGCACTTTATGAGAAAGATAAATGTGATGATGGTGGTGGTGGTGGTGGTGATGATGATAATCTGGGAAGATACCATTTACTGACTTTACCTGAATGGGTTCTAGGGCCTTATTTGGGGGAAGGAATAAAACCACCATCCCTTAACAGGCATGTCATAAGAAGCAACTAATTAAAGATTTGCTGAAATCGGATATGTTGGATCTAAAGGTGCATATACCGCAGCATAGTTGTACATCACAACACAAAGTCCTAAACGCCCCTTATGAGCGGTTATGCAGAATAAGAAAATCTTCAAGTTAAAAGGATAGGGAAGACAAGAGGAGAGCTGCATGTGATAACAAAGGATAGAACGACATGGCACCAGCTGGTTGAGGGCCTATGCTCCATTGGGGGGTTAGAAAGGCAGAAGAAGAAGAATGCAGAAAAAAAATCTTACTCACTGGAAAAAATTATCAGCATTTAAGAAATCAATATATCTCTTCCTCCTGCTGCTTGGGCTTACAGGAACTCCTTGACCAATGTTGATCAAGTTCACAATAAAGCCATATCCAGAGTCGCATACAGATGCACTTGCTGGCACACTCCTATCTTCATAGACCAGTTTTGAATCTACCGACACCCTCAATGCAGATTTCACTTCCACTGCTATAAAGTGTTTCTGGCCATCAGATATTTGCTGGGCTGTGTCAAAGTGTTTAGTATAACCACACTTGAAAAAATCTCCGGACAAGCTCCCCCCTTTGATGTAGAGACCGATAAATGATGTCTTTTTGAGGATGCTACTGTTTTCGTTGCCCATGTAGAGAATAAAGCCGTCCTGCTGTTTGGTGATGATGAAGAGAGAGAGAACCCAGTCATCTGGGTTTCCAATCATACTGTATGTGGCAAATGTCCCTGGGTGTTTACCGTATGTAGCAGACTCGTATTCTGTGGATGTATGGACATAAAGATATGAGCATTAATACTCAAATATATTCTTCAGAAATTTAAACACAAAGATACAATACTGTACTGCATTTACATATTCACAATGTATATTGTGAATTTATAGACATAAATGTGTGAAGGTAATGAAGAAGAAGAAAAATAGTTGAAAAGCAAGAGACGAATGGAGGGAGGAAGAGTATAAGAAGGTAGTGGAACAGCAAACTGAACATCATAGTCTGCTGAGAGTGTTGCAGTAAGGAGTGATGAGGGGATCTGGTCGATACTCGACTCTTTGAGGAAAGGCAAGATGAGTACTGTGATGTCAGTTATTGAATCAGCTCAACTCAACTAAAGAAACTGGTATGGTGAAGAGAGTGCTTTTGTCTCCATTTTAAGTTTCTACCCTACTTAAACTGCTAATTTACTGATGGAAATAGGCAGACTCCCTGTAAATCCTCAAATTAAAATTTTTGCCTCACTCAATTAAACACTAGAGTAAAGACAACTAGTTGTTAACTTCACAAGAAAGCATTTCTCACGCAATGAGCTGATGGCATGTGAAAGTCCTGCCTCAGGAAACTATCTTGGCTGTACATACCAGGACATGCCAGGGTGAAAGGAAATGAAAAAGCTGACAGACTGGCCGTGTCTACAGTAGTTAAAAGAAGAAGAAATGTTACAGCTGATATACTCAATGCTCTGTGCTCCAGATACGGTGAGATAAAGAAGTCAGATATGATGAAATGCCAGTTGGAAATGGGTTATCAAATAAGTACAGCCTTTAAAGTTGGAGTATCTCTCTGAGAGTGTATCTGCCTGAGAGTGTATCTGCCTGAGAGTGTATCTGCCTGAGAGGCCAACTAACTGTCCACTTACAAATAAGTCTGATGTGTAAAATGGATGTACATGCAAAACTCAAGTTCTGGAACAAGACCAAAGCTCAAAAGTGGACAAACAGCCAGAACTTTATGCCAGAGTTTACAGCCAGCGAATGCTAAGCAGAGCTAAGAATAAAATTCTGCTGCGGAGCAACAACAAAAAATATGAAAATGAACTTTTGCTAGAAACTGTGAGCACGAAGACACTGTGAGCATAAAGACATTGAGAGCATAGACACTGTGAGCATAAAGACACTGTGAGCATAAAGACATTGTGAGCATAAAGAAATTGTGAGCATAAAGACACTGCGAGCATAAAGACACTGTGAGCATGAAGTCACTGTGAGCATAAAGATACTGTGAGCATGAAGACACTGTGAGCATAAAGACACTGTGAGCATGAAGACACTGTGAGCATGGAGACACTGTGAGCATGAAGACAATGTGAGCATGAAGACACTGTGAGCATAAAGACACTGTGAGCATGGAGACACTGTGAGCATGGAGACACTGTGAGCATGGAGACACTGTGAGCATGGAGACACTGTGAGCATGAAGACACTGTGAGCATAAAGATACTGTGAGCATAAAGACACTGTGAGCATGAAGACACTGTGAGCATGGAGACACTGTGAGCATGGAGACACTGTGAGCATAAAGATACTGTGAGCATGAAGACACTGTGAGCATGGAGACACTGTGAGCATAAAGATACTGTGAGCATGAAGACACTGTGAGCATGGAGACAATGTGAGCATAAAGACATTGTGAGCATGGAGACACTGTGAGCATAAAGACACTGTGAGCATAAAGACACTGTGAGCATGAAGACACTGTGAGCATAAAGACACTGTGAGCATGAAGACACTGTGAGCATGAAGACACTGTGAGCATGGAGACACTGTGAGCATGGAGATACTGTGAGCATGAAGATACTGTGAGCATGAAGACACTGTGAGCATGAAGACACTGTGAGCATGAAGATACTGTGAGCATGAAGACACTGTGAGCATGAAGATACTGTGAGCATGAAGACACTGTGAGCATGAAGATACTGTGAGCATGAAGACACTGTGAGCATGAAGATACTGTGAGCATGAAGATACTGTGAGCATGAAGACACTGTGAGCATGGAGACACTGTGAGCATAAAGATACTGTAAGCATGAAGACACTGTGAGCATGAAGATACTGTAAGCATGAAGACACTGTGAGCATGAAGATACTGTAAGCATGAAGACACTGTGAACATAAAGATACTGTGAGCATGAAGACACTGTGAGCATAAAGATACTGTAAGCATGAAGACACTGTGAGCATAAAGATACTGTAAGCATGAAGACACTGTGAGCATAAAGATACTGTAAGCATGAAGACACTGTGAGCATAAAGATACTGTAAGCATGAAGATACTGTAAGCATGAAGACACTGTGAGCATAAAGATACTGTAAGCATGAAGACACTGTGAGCATAAAGATACTGTAAGCATGAAGACACTGTGAGCATGAAGACACTGTGAGCATGAAGATACTGTAAGCATGAAGACACTGTGAGCATGAAGATACTGTAAGCATGGAGATACTGTGAGCATGAAGACACTGTAAGCATGAAGATACTGTAAGCATAAAGACACTGTGAGCATGAAGACACTGTGAGCATGGAGACACTGTGAGCATAAAGACACTGTGAGCATGAAGACACTGTGAGCAAAGATGTTAGTTTTTGTATCGTGACATGGAGGAAACCTTGCACCAGACATTACTGGCGGTTCACAAAACGGAAGGCTGTGCAAAGACATGATGACTAACACAGGGAATGTACTTTTAACCCTTTTAATTAGAAAAACTACAAAACCGACACTTACAGTCAGGTCCTATTCCCCATCAATGCCATATTTCTGACTTATCAATAGTGACCTGTTTTTGAGACTCAGTTAATGCTATTGGCTGTTTTAGTGCCTGAGCACCTGTTTAAGAGGACAGGGTAAGAATATATTAATTAAAATTAGCATTAAGGAGGGTTCTCTTTTGAGCTAAATGGATTTTTAAGAATCAGGTTGATGTAAAAAATGACCTATTGGCCTCTGTGGTAGAAGTCATGGGTCACGTATGGCAAGAGTTACCAGACACACACTTTTTTAGGTCGCCAGGAATGCATTCCATTGAAGGTTTCACCCTGCTGGTGTTTACTGATGCACCCTTCATCCATGTTTACATATTGGTTGGAAGCGAGGGGGTGCGGTGTACAAATGTAAAAATAAATTGTTCAATGATTTATTATTGACTTGTGTAAGACTTTTTTTTTTTTTTTTGGAGGATTTTTTCCCCTAGGATTCCAATGGGGTTATGACCTATTTTTCTTAGTGTTCCCGGGGTGAGAGGGTTAGGGAAATACCTACCATTCTCACAGTTGATCCCGTAGTAAGGTCGATAACAATGGCAGACATATGAATCCCACAAGTCCTCGCAGAATCCATGCCTGCTACAAGAATCCTCCACACACTGTGGTGTTCTAGAACAGCCAGGGCTAACAAAGTACTGTCCTGCAAAGAAATTAAACATCTATTAGTCCACTTTTATTGTGCATAAACAGGACTAACAAAGTAATGTATTGCAAAGAAATTAAACATCTATTAGTCCACTTTTAATTTGCATAAACAGGACTAACAAAGTAATGTATTGCAAAGAAATTAAACATCTATTAGTCCACTTTTAATTTGCATAAACAGGACTAACAAAGTAATGTATTGCAAAGAAATTAAACATCTATTAGTCCACTTTTATTGTACATAAACAGGACTAACAAAGTAATGTACTGCAAAGAAATTAAACATCTATTAGTCCACTTTTACTGTGCATTGTCAGGGCTAACAAAGTACTGTCCTGCTTGGTCTCGCTAGCTCTCCTGCCTCATGCACTTTTCCTACCCAAGGTGACACTAATATCCTGTACCCACCTTCCTGCTCGTCAACCCCTGCCCTGCCATCCACTACTGTTCTTTCCCAACCACCATGGCCCATAAAATGGCTAAAATATTTCAGAGACAAGCTGCTGTTTACAAGCCAATCTTCCTTCATGTTCAGAGTTTTTAGAATGTTAATATTTCTTTTTTTCTTGGTCCGCGGTATTATGAGAATCTTCCAAAAGCATTCCGATTCAAAGGCTTCTTAAAGGACTGCGAGAGAGTCCATGACTCAGATCCATAGGCTCCACAAGGAAAATTTCTTGTTTTCCAAATTCTGATGCTGGTTTTATTGCTGGTACTTAGCTTTTGACCAGGGCTATTTTAAAAGTTTTCTCAGAGGCGGCAAAAATGTTGAAAATGAGGATTGTCACAGGTAAATGGCCCCAACCCCAGAAAGATCACTGATACAAATGAAAATGATTCGTGGGCCACTTGCTAAGCCTCTGTGGGCCGGATTCAGTCTGCAGGCCGCTAGTTCAATAGCCCTGCCTTACACTTTAAAACAGGTATCCTTTCCACTCAAATACACAAATCACACAGTCTAGTGTTAACATTGAACATTTCGCCACGCAAGTCTAAGATTACCCATATGATCCTCTAAGTTTAAAAGAATCACAAGAGTCCTACCATTTGGCTTTCCTGGGTAGTAGAGCTGGTCATTGATCAGGACATCTTCCATGCAGCCGACAAAGCCGCTGGGCATTGCTGGATCTATGACCTCAGCTACAGATCCACTGCCGATATACAACTGCGAGCTGGCAGGAGGCTGGATCCCACTGAAGGAGAAGGAGGTCAGACAGGCCTGAGAGCTGCATGCTGTGCTGGTGCAGTTGTTTCCAGGTAAGGACAGTATGATGTTCTGGGAGACAACAAGGTTTAGCTGATGGTGTTCTGAGCTGTTCACAGGGGACCTGGTGTTGAGTGTGCAGGACCTGAAGCCAGTATCCTCTTTGTACCGCAGAAGAACCTGTGGGATATTTGTTTTAGAAACTCAGTCTCTACAGCAACTATCAAACAATACTTTGTATACGTGCTAAATACAACATGGTATCCCACTCTATAGAAAAATTCTTAAAATACCATGGATCAGGAAGAGGAAAAACATTGACATTCTGAACGAGTTGAATATCAAGGAAATCTGGCTCATAAACAGCATCCTATCCTAAAAGTTGAAGTATTTTGGCTACATCAAGCGGCATGGTGGCTTGAAAAAGACGGTGATGGAAGGTGCAGTTTCTGGAAGGCGAGGCAGGGGTCAACCACCGCGAAGATGGATACAAGACACTGAGGATGCATTGGCATTGAAAGCACATGGGGCTGGAGAGCTGGCTAGAAAAGGAATACTTTCAGGGGTGCTGTGAAGAGATTGACGTTCTGTAAAGGACTTACTGATTGATGATGATGCCGCTCTGTGGAGTTGTACATCTACTTGGGCAGTAATGTAGATAAAGATAGGGGAATTTATAGAGAAATTAAAATATGGAATAGAAAAGGAAAGAGGAGCTTTGATAGCACTAGGAAATTTGTGGGCAAAAGAAATTAAAACTATTAGTAAACTAAAGACTTGTAATTCTAATGTTAAATCAGTACTGTTGTATGGAGCAGAAACAATGAAGGCAATTAATAATAAACTACAAACATTCATTAATTGGTGCTGGGGCAGAATAGAGGAATTATATAGTATGATAGAATCACTAATGAGGAACTTTGAGAGAGAACTAAACAAGTTCCAGTGGACCAAGAGGTGAAGAAAAGACACTGGCATTGGATAGGACACAGGTTGAGAAAATCTGAGAAAATCTAACTAGAATGTCTTTGTACTGGAACCCACAGGGGCACAGAAATAAAGGAAGACTGAAAACCACATGGAGAAGGGAGCTAGAGAGTGAAGTTAAAAGGACTGAGAGGACACGGAGAGAGCAGCATGCGATAGCAAAGGATAGAACAGCTTGGCGTGACTTGGTTGAGTTCCTATGCTCCATTAGGGGTTAGAAAAGCTGAAGAAATACAACAGAAAATAAAATGTGACAAGAATACTCAAGGGAGGGAACGGAAACAATGCACAAACAACTGAATGTTTTCATTCAAGTCTTCATCAATGGAGTACCTATATTCTGTGTTATGTCAAGCTAGCTTTGTTAATGAGAAAGGCTATAAGTGCTAGATAGGATTCCGTCCATGATACTGCAAGGACTGTACAAGACAGAACTGAATACAGGAGTAGGACACCAGCCCTATGTGATGTGAAGCCACCGTTATGTAGTGGCTAGACACTCGCCTGCAGATAGGAAGGTCATGGGTTTGGGTCCTGACGGTAGAGTACAGATCAACCCAGCTTTGATCGGGTAGCAGGTGGAGTCCTGGAAAGTAAAGGCAGCCAGCATGATGCTCAACCCATCAGCCACTAAGTTCTAATTGGTAAAGAAAAAAATATAGGTCTAGCTCTATTTGCCCAATAAGTCTGACAGCGTGGAATAGGATCCTTTTCTTTACTTTACTTATCTGATGTATAAACTGCACAAACAGATCAGATAAACATGTTCCAACTTTGTAGCAAAAGGGTCACCCCATACTGCTCCGTTCCTATGCCAAAGAAAGCCACACAGAATGTCCATCTCTTGTCTCTTGCGGGACAAAAGTGACTGACTGCAAAGTATATACATGCATTAAGTGCTTAAGACAGTCATCAGAAGTGTCAACACAAACTGTCAGACAACAGAATTGCAGTTCATCATTGATGAAAGCAGCAGTCACAACACACAGTCGTTACACACACAATTAATTGCATACGGCACCAGTTTTTCTCACAACACCCCATTCGCCATTTTCTGAATGTGCAGTTCACAAAACAAACCACGTCGGGCGCAGTAGAAAAGCACTTCAAGTGCATTCCGCAAGTAACAGTGCCGTGTCATGCACTCAACTCAGTAATTGGGCGATAGAACAATATCCTTTCAGTCTACATATGGAGCAAATGCAACAGCTTACTACTGTCCAAAGTAAAAACTAGAAATGACAACAACAACAAAACACCAACAAAAAAGAGTAAACGCCTATTTGCCAAACTGACCAGAGACCGCACAAGAAAGAACTGATGGAGGTATAAAATGTGCTCATTATGTGATGAATAAATTGCACAATAGGAGGATGATGATGATGATGATGATACAAACCTTTCCATCGCTCATCTCCACCGACACAAAAGAACTAGCCGACATCCTCCACAACACCAAGACACCAGTGGACACTGTTGTCTGAAACCTCAGGCTGAGGTTAAAACTGGAAGAATTCATTGGAATTTTGATATAGTCTGTGTGGTTGTGTCTAAAGCTGATGTCTGTAGATTGAGCACAGTAGGGTCCAGTATACCCTGGGTAACAATCACAGTCAAACGAGTGGCTGTCCTGTGTTTCGTTCACAAGCTTTGGGATACAGTTTCCATTCCAGCAGCGCCGGGGTCCCTCACAACCACGAAGGAATGTTGTGCAGTTCTTTCCGCCGAAGTTGGGTCTGGATGCTACAGGCGCTGGACAAGTGCAGTCATAGTCTGCGACTTTGTCTCTGCAGCTGCCTCTGTTCTTGCAAGGAGAGTAGGCAATGCATTCATTGATTTCTGTTTCACATAAGATGCCGTTGTAGCCTGGTGTGCAGTTGCATTTGAAGCCATCTTTAAAAATGTTGTTGCACGTGGAATTGTGTTGACAAGGATCTGACTGGCATTCGTCGATGTCCTTCGTACAGTTGACATCTGAAAAAGAGATCAGCAGCAACAAAAATAAGACCAAATAGTATTATCTGTAATTGTTTTTAAAGTTGGCGTCTGTGGCTTAGGCGTTATGAACGGGCTTTGTAATGCCGGGGTGCCGGATTTGATTCCAGCTTACGTTGGTTTCAACAGTGGTATCGAGAAGCTGACCATACAGAAAGCAATGGCAAACTACTGGACATAAAACTTGCCTAGGAAAACCACAACAGCCAAAACAATGCTGGGGTTGGTTCTGCAGCGTCTTGTAAAGAATACGCAACTAACTTTTAATTTTTTTAAATGTATATGAGTTGATGGGATTACTTTGGAGGTCATGGATGAAGAGTACTGACTTTTTCTCTCGGGTATGCGGGTGTGTTGGGAAATGAATGGGCAGACAAATTGCTTGGCACTGCACAACTTGGTGGAATACTGATACATGATAAGGCAGACGTGGTTACGGCCTTAAAGGAGTTCATGTACAATTCAGAACATAAATTTACGAACACAGTCTGGTGAGAGTGATGCAGCAAGGAGTAATGACGTGATCTGGCCCGATACTCGACGTTCAGAGAAAAGTCAAGACAGGCATAAAAAAAACTACTACTGGCACTATTAATATTGGAACTCTGTATTGGCTGCTGAAAATGGGGTTGGAGCGCTTATGGGAATGCCCTGAATGCTGTGATGTCTGTTCTTGAATCAAGTCAATCAATTTTATGGGATTAACTGATAAAGGTGTTTGTTTGTAGGCAGGAGAGAGAGGGAAAGAGGGAGTAGGTTTAGATATTTATACACATAGAGAGATAAATGTAAGTAGGCAAGAATGAGAGCCAAGGAATCAATTGTCTGCACACATACACCAGATCTGTAAAATGGACGTGCACAAAAAACTCAAATCCTAGATAAAGACCAAAGTCCAGAAGTGGATGAACAACCAGGACATTTCACAGAAGTTTACAGCCAGTGAATGCAAAGAAGAAGAAAAAGAAGAGGAAGCAGGAGGAGGAGGAAAAGAAGAAAGAGGAGGAGGAGGAGGAGGAGGAGGAGGAGGAGGAGGAGCAGCAGCAGCAGCAGCAGCAGCAGCAGCAGCAGCAGCAGCAGCAGCAGCAGCAGCAGCAGCAGCAGCAGCAGCAGCAGCAGCAGCAGCAGCAGCAGCAGCAGCAGCAGCAGCAGCAGCAGCAGCAGCAGCAGCAGCAGCAGCAGCAGCAGCAGCAGCAGCAGCAGCAGCAGCAGCAGCAGCAGCAGCAGCAGCAGCAGCAGCAGCAGCAGCAGCAGCAGCAGCAGCAGCAGCAGAAGAAGAAGAAGAAGAAGAAGAAGAAGAAGAAGAAGAAGAAGAAGAAGAAGAAGAAGAAGAAGAAGAAGAAGAAGAAGAAGAAGAAGAAGAAGAAGAAGAAGAAGAAGAAAAGAAGAAGAAGAAGAAGAAGAAGAAGAAGAAGAAGAAGAAGAAGAAGAAGAAGCAGCAGCAACAGCAGCTAGCCATAAGTTAAACAAGAATTAAATCACTGGTAAAGGACATCAACTAGTCACAAAACTTACCTTCTAAACCAGAGACACAGATGCACAAGTATCCTGCAGCCTTCTCATAGGTGAAGTTAACAAAGCGTGGGTCCCCCTTGTCGTACAGTGAACTGTTGGAGTTCTCCAGGCACTGGCTGTTGTAGGCACACGGGTTTGGACTGCAGTCTGGAATATCTTGCTCACATCTACTGCCGGTATATCCTGGCAGGCAGCTGCATGTGTAATTCTTGAAAGAAACAGTAGAGAGAACAGGTTACATGTTATTTTATGTTATGTTATGTTATGTTATACTGACATCTTGAAAGATCTGAACATCCAGGAAGATTGGCTAATAAACAGAATCCTGTCTCGGAAGCTGAAATATTTTAGTCATATCAAACGCCATGACGGATTGGAAAAAATTATAGCAGAGGACATGGTACCAGGAAGGAGGGTCAAGGGCCAACTGACAGGAAGATGAGCACAGGATATAAGTGACTCCTTGAGTATGCAAGTACATGAGGCGGGAGAACTGGCAAGAGACCGAGTTTCTTTCAGGCAGACCGTGATGAGAGCGACGTTCTGCAAAGGACCTGCTACATGATTATGATGATGATGTTATACTTTCCACTTCAAAGCTAAATGGTAAACAGTGGGGGTTCCCATTTGGGTTCCTGAGCTCAATTTTGGAGTGAAAAATAATAGACCTACTGCCTCCGTTACAAGCATGTCCTAAGAGGTGACTAATTAGACATGCTTCCTCCAAAGTCAGAGCGCATCTTGACTGAGAGGCAAGGAAGCAACAGTCTGCATACAAATAAGCCAGATCTGTAAAATGGATGTGCATGCAAAACTCAAGTTCTGGATCAAGACCAAAGTCCAGAAGTGGATGAACAACCACCAGAACCTTCTGCCAGCATTTACAGCCAGTGAACGCAAAGAAGGAAAAAAGAGTCAGACTAGCAAGAAGGCCACAGCTACAATGTGGTAATCAAATCACTAAAATAATTTATATTAATTTTTGTTATAAACTTTTCATGCATATTTTTGTAAAATAAATAAGGGAAATCAATCACTGTTAAATAAAGAGCAAAGAATTAACTGCTTTCCTTCCCTCTAAGATAAACGTGGTTTTGTTAACTTAGCAATGGGAAGCAAAGTGACATCATATGCAACGTGGGATATTTTCACACGGGGATTCCCTGATTAAGAAGGTAGGGGGAAAACTCGAGGTACAACAGAAAACTGAGAGAAGCCAAACACTTGGAGAAAACGAGGTTCTCAAGGAGGGGAGAAGATTCCAAAATGTTGTAAGATTGGGATCGTCACAGGCCAGTTGAATAGCCTTGCTCTAGGGCCTAAAAAAAAAAAACATATGTATTGAGTGGCTCACGTCCTCTATCACTGAGACTTACCGGAAATTTTGAAACCAACTTTTTTTTTTCAAGCTATTTGATTCACCAGAAACCCCCCCCCCCCCCCCCCCAAATGCTGTTAGTAAATATAATCCTGTCCTGACCTACTAAATGCTGTTAGTAAATATAATCCTGTCCTGACCTACTAAATGCTGTTAGTAAATATAATCCTGTCCTGACCTACTAAATGCTGCTCAGGCACCAACACAACCAATGTCACTAACTAGGTGTCTCTTAAACACATCACTGTAGAAATGCTGGTCAACAGGCACCCGTGTGGAAGTGCCAGATTTGTGGCTTCCTGGGGTAAAAAGGCTAAATGCATTTTCGGCATGTTTCGATATCAACATCCTCCTCATGTGGCTAAGGCTACATAAGGCATTCTCAGGTGATATCCAGTACTGTCCAATTCATTACACACTCCTTCAACTGCCTCTCTACTGTCAGCCTCGAGGTTTCCTTCAGTCATACATGTCTCCTTTTTTCCATCTGCCACCCATCGGAAAGCTGTCATTGCTAGAGCAGATGCACTCCGACTTCAAAATAAGCTCCCAATTAGTCGACTCTTATGACATGCTTTTGGGTAGGCAGTGGGTCTACTGAACTAAAACGTTACAACGGGTATAGAGCGAGTGGAAGACCTCGGAAAATATGGAGTGATGGCATTAAGAACAGCCTTACAGAAATGAACATCAGTCTTAATAGTCCTCTTGACAGAGCTCATCAACGAACATTACATCTACCCCCGACACTTCAATGAGGTACATGGTGGAAGAGAAGAAGAAGAAGAAGTGGGTCTATTCTTGTTTTCCCTATAATAGGGCCCTGAAACACACATGGGGTATTCTGCAAACATGTCTAGCCATCTCCACCTTCTTCCTATTTTATACCACTACCACCCTCCTTCCCCCCCCCCCCCCCCCACTTAGATTTATTACACTTACTATACTTAGTATTACTACTATTTAGAAATGGTGGTATAATTAGAACATATCCCAGCAATTGTGATTAAGAATTAGATGTAGACGTGTATTATTTTTATGCTAACTGATATGTGAATGGAATAATGTACCTAAGGAGTGCGGCCAAAAGGGCAGAATTTAAGGTGTGCCTGCAGGCCTCATTCTTAACCCTTTGAAAATAAAGCTTGTTTGTTTGTTCATTCGTTCCTTTGACAAAGCTTGGCGGTGATGAACATTTTCTGTTTGTTTGGTCATTTTAAATATCTGGCTGGTTCAGCCACAGGCACTGGGTGTAAAAGTACACACACCTGATCTGTGGAGCCTGATGGTGGTGTTAGATGGTAACCATGCATGCATACACTTGTCGTTTAATAGGTGTTGATGATGGTGATGCTGATCACAATGATGATGATGATGATGACAACAAAGATTATGATGTTGATGATGGTGACACTGATGATGACAAAGACGATAATAATGGTGATGATGATGAAGACAACAATGATGATAATTTTTGTGATGATGATAATTATAGTGATGATGATTATGATCATGATGATTCTGATAATGATGTTGATAATTATGATGATGATGATGATTATGATAATGATGATGTTGATGATAATTATGATGATAATTATGGTGATGATAATTACAGTGATGATGATGATGATGATGAAAATAATGGTTATGACAGTGATTATTTTTAATATTATTATTAATTTTATGACAACAACAATGATGGAAATGATGTCAATGACAATGTTGATTATTAACTGTGCAATATTCATTGTTATTTGATAAAAATGGTTTGTTCATCAGAATATGAAAGATTTTTTCTTTCTAACTTTTAATGACAGGAAAAAAGGGGGCAAAAAAGAAGGAATATGGAATATTACCTTAATGATATCAACACAGGTACCACCATTGAGACACTGGCTGTTGACACAATCATTAATATTGACCTCACAAGTGGTGCCATTAAACCCAGTGTTGGAGCAGTCACAGGTGAAACTACAGACCCAAAGAAAACAAAACAAAGTTATTAAACACTTGTCAAGTGATAAGGTGCAAGAACTCATCAAGGGTGTCTGCACTAAAGGAGGCTTCAGACCAGTATGGTGAT